ATGTATAAAGGATTAATACATCATATAATGCAATAATCATATCAACAAATCCATCAAAAAGTGCTGTTGAATATTTAAGCGTCCCATCAATAGTGTGTGGATCCAGATGAAAAGTACATCAAATCTGCTGTTTCTGTGACTTGGACCGGTGGCCACCTTAGTAAAACTAGGCTGAATGTTTGTTATCACCGCATGGTTTCTTTTTAACACTTTGTATTGGCAATTTTAACAATAAAATACTACACCATATACCTTTATCTGGGTTCCATGGTGTGAGCTCCTTTCCATCAAGGGAACCAGATGTTCGGCCAGAGGCTTGAATGTTGAGAAGATTATTTGGGACATACAGCACTAGTTATAATACATGCCATTGTATTTTAGCTCTCTGGGGAGTGCATAAGGGTGGCATAGTGTAGAGGTTTTTTTTTTTCTACACTTGGGGACTCTTTGTACACGTAATCTTGAGAGATTTCATGTACCTTTCATCTAGATACACACAATATTGATAGGATACTTAAATATGCAACAGCACTTTTTGAAGGATTTGTTCGTATGGTTATTGCATTGTATGTTGTATTAATCCTTTATGCATTGATTTATGTTTAATCTGGAACATCAGCTTTTAAAGTACCGATCAGAGACAATTTTTATTAACACTGGTACACTGATTAGTTTTTTTATACACTGGCATAGTTTATGTTTATCGTTGCACTATATATTTCTTCTATTGTTGTTCTGTAAGGTTGGTGTGTCACCTTCCTTGGTGCTTGTGGCTACTTCTCAGAGCTCTCATGTATATTCTTTCCTTAGAAAATTTGGTTTGTATCTAAGAAAACCAGAGTTAATTTTTTGTGTTTTATGTGCTTCTTTTTTTTGTCCCAAGGTCTATATTAAATGTTACACTTGTTAAGGAGTTTATTGTATCCGGCATGGCTTAGAGACATTTAACAATATTTTGGAAACTAAATGAAAACTACTTCTTTGTTACTTGGTACACATTTGGTGACTTTGGTACCTGACCTTGCAGCAGGCCAGCAACGAGTTGTATTTTCCAATTGGTTAGAAGGATATAAGATAGCCTCAATAGTCTAAGAGTAGTATGCAATGGAGTGCTGACTACATGTGACATAGGAGTTAATAGAGTTTGCATCAGGTGCATGACTGCAATAACTGGTACTGTTAGATAAGAAAATTAGAAGATCTTGGCCCTAATGGTTATACTGGTTCATCCTCCTGTAGCACAGCTGTGGTCATGGCTAACAGTTGGATGGTCTAAATATGATTATAATGTCAGAACGGAAAATATAGATCACTAAATTAATTTTCAATTTAAAATTATTCCTAAATCTGCCTTTACTACTATATTTTTGTTCCTTAAGGCTTAAAGTAAACTGCAAAGCTTTAAATGTTGCTTCATTAAACTAAAAAACAGGTCGTACTTACCTGCCCTGTGCAATGGTTTTGCGCAGAGCACCTCCAATCCAGCTCTTCTAGGGTCCCCCACTGGTGCTCCTGGCTCCTCCCCTCCATTGAGTGCCCACCATAGGAAGAAGCTTTCTGTCATGTGTGCTTAATCCTGAGCCAAGCTGTTTGAGTTTATTAACCACTTGCCCTCCAGAGGATTTACCCCCCTTCCTGACCAGGTAATTGTTTGCGATACGGCACTGCGTTACTTTAACTGACAATTGCGTGATCATGCAATGCTGCACCCAAACTAAATTTACATCTTTTTTCCACACAAATAGAGCTTTCTTTTGGTGGCATTTGATCTCCTGTGCATTTTTATTTATATTTATAAACAAAAAACTGACAATTTTGTGAAAACTATCTTTGACTTTTTGCTATTAAACATGTCCAGTAAAAAAAATTTAAAAATCAAATTTCATAAAAAATTTAGGCCAAAATGTATTCTTCTACATGTCTTTGCAAAAACAAAAATCCCAATACGTGTAGATTAATTGGCTTACGTAAAAGTTATAGCGTTTACAAATGGTGGTATAGATACTGGAATTTTTTTTTTTTTCACTAGTAATGGTGGCAATCAACAACTTATAGAGGGACTGCAGGACTGCAATGGGCATTCTGAAACTGGGGGGTACTGACTTGGTGCCATTCCTAGTGACACCAATACAGTGATCAGTGCTAATAATAGGCACTGACACTGCACTAATGGCACTGGGCAGGAAGGGGTTAATATCTGGGGTGAACAAAGGGTTAACTGTGTCTTGTGTTTGTTTCACTATGTTGGCTGTGAGTGTGCTTTACACTGCAAGCACATTGCTTTGTATGGCTCTGCTATGCAGATCCATACAAAGTAGTGTGCAGGAGTTGACCGGTGATAGATCTGTGTTGTTTATACACAGGTCTCTCCCCCTTCGAAGACACTTGGCGATCACTGGGTGCTGGCAAGTAATCACTGAAAAGTGAGGCTGTGAATGCTGGCATGGGTAGGGCTTGCGCACACCCCTTACCTGCAACTGGAAAATCGCGTATATATACATGGTTTTGCACACCCATGCCTCCTTGTAGCAGTATTTCTGCTATAGGGTGGCGCAGAACCAGTTAACACCCAGCCCCCAGCTCTCTCCTCACAGGTTTTGACTGACAGCAGCAGGAGGCAACAGCTCCTGCTGCTCTCAGCCAAGCCAGTGAGACGAGGGAGGGCGGGAGAGAAGAGTTTCTGCAGATATGCACAGTGCTGGGTCAAGTTCTGCCTCAGGTAAGTATTTGGGAAGGGGAAGCTACTATTAAAGTTTTTTTTACCTTAATGCAGAGAATGCATTAAGGCATTAAAAATTTTGCCTTTACAACCACTTTAATTATATTTTAACATAGACGCTTATTTTACCAAACACATTTTCAGTTAGATAAGTTTAGATGACTTGGAATAAACGTGATGAATTACTGAGGCTGAATTACTAAAAGAGTGGAAGATATTCACACAAATAAATTGTGTGAATAATCTTTTTTTTTATCCAAATATGTAAAAAGCAAATTCCTGTTTAGTTATTTCAGCTGCACCTGACTGAGTATTCAAAATAAGAGTTTGCTTTTCACATAATTGGATACTTGAAGTGAATATTTACACAATTTATTGAGTAAAGATTCTCATTTTTTTTAGTAAATCATCCCAGCTATATATGTTTTCTAAAGTAAATATGATGAGCAATACATTAAACATGAGTGGAATCCTTTCTAAACAAGTATATCATCAAAGTTTCACCCACACCTTGATCTACTATTGCTACTGATTGAATCTGGTAATCTTGTTTATGTCAGATAATGTACATTACACTGCAACTCATCAAAACTCACCCACGCACACACACACGCACACACACTTACATGCACACACACATGCATCCAAAGGACTGTCTCACAGGAAAGGTAAGTAGGATAGAAGTCAATGGCAAGATTCCTATTTCTAGTTTCTATCCTAGTCTCACATTCCAGTTAATTTGGAGACATTATGCACTAAATAACATCAGGTGCTGGAATTATATTCCTTAGGACAGACATTTTCTTCAAAGCAGAACTAAAGTGCTAATTTTAAAGATTGTGCACAGGCAGGCTCTTTACTGTAGAAGAGCCCTTCATTGTCTCTTCTGCAACTAAATAAACCTACCTGCTTGCTTGCAGTCTTCTTTGAATGTACACTGAGCTGTGCAAGCACTGATCAATTTACATTATGGCATGGCATCTTTGTGCCCGGATGACTGAACTCCTGTTCATGCACAGGAGTGATGTCATCCTGTGCAAGCCAATGAAGACATCCACAGTCCGGCACCCAGAAGAACCCGGGTAAAAGATGCCAACAACCGACATGGCAGACCATTAAAACAAAGGCAAGTATACGGACTTCAGTTCCACTTTAAGTAGCATTTAAGTAATCAAACAGACACATATGCTTTTCAAACTCTCCATCCATTCTTGCAGAAATTCCACATGTAAAAATGTATTTTTCTCCCACAATAGCCAAATAAAATAAAAAATGCAACTGAACTGGTTTCAGCAGTGTGAGTTTGAGATGCAATTAAAGCGAAGCTCCACCCAAAAGGGGAAGTTCCACTTTAAGGACTGCTACCCCACTCCCCATTAAGGATTGGCACCTTTGGGGGGTGGGGGTACCCGAATTTGACAGGCACCCGCTCCCACTTCGGGTCCGATCGCCTAGGTGACGGGAAGCAGAAGTTGTCCTCCCTCCCTATAGTCTTTTGAGACATGTGACAGGTTCCAGAAGACTACAGGACCATTCATGAAGCGCAGTGCTACTCGCACATGCGCAGTGGGTACCTGGCTGTGAAGCCGCAAGCAGTCACAGCTGGGTACCCACACTGAAGATGCTGGCCTCCTTTAAAACAGGACAGCCGGTGAAATGGACTGCGTGGGGACACCGTGGGACCGAGGGACAGGTAAGTTGCTGTTTTTTAAAAGTCAGCAGCTACAGTTTTTGTAGCTGCTGACTTTTATTTTTTGACAGGGTGAGTGGAGCTCCGCTTTATGTCACTGGTGTGGTGCTTATGTATCCATTGTTTCACTGCTAAGATACAGCTAACTGCCACTATAAGCAATATTTAGAAAACATGATGCATGCAGCTACTATATTTATGGTAAATAATCCAGTACTAAGGTTTTAACAAATATACAGTAAAAAAAAACTGCATGAAATGAGAATCTGGAATCCAACTTGTACTTGTTTGAAAGATTTAGAATGAAGAGTAATACACATACTGCATTCTTTGAGATGTCATGGTAAAATGAACAGAGAAACAAAAAGTAACATGCATTGATGACTGTTTGGAACACAACATGGTATGTTTAAACTGGGTAACATATTGCAAACAGTTAGAGTTTTTCTAGAGCATTGGCTAGGTCACACTCTCTACACCTCAGTGTTAGTAGAATTTGGTTAGTTGCAAACTATCAGGTTTGCAATTATAACTCACAATTTGTGCATAGTGCAGTCTTCGGAAAGGAGCAAATTTGCTCTCAATTTCTCGCCAGCGTTTGTTAAGATGGATCAGGGTTGGCTCCACTGCTTTGGCAGCCCCATCCTTAGACAAACGTTCAGCTTGTCTGTGTACTGCATTCAGTTCTTCTTTCTTCTTCTCCAATTCTCCATCAATCTCCTAGTGAGCAAAACCAATACAGGGCCGAGGACAATTAGCTAGCTAGGTAATGAACTTACATTAGAAGTAGCAAAAGAGTACTTATGCCAATACTGTCACTTCTTTGTTTGTAGAATTTTATTTTAAAAAGTAATTAAGTATTACAAGTTAAGAGACTAATGCACCAGTAACAGAATGTTTTGACTGTGTTTAACTTTCTAGTTTAACACATCTATCTTATGTCCATGTGTTATTTAATTCGTACCTGCATGGATATGCAAATGTTACATTTTACATGTATGATCTATTTATTATTCCTACAGAACATATTTCAGTTTGTGACAGAGTTTGCTACTTAATGGCAAAACAAAGCAATAGTGAAGCAAAATAAAATGATAAAAACAATAAAAGTCAAAGGAAAATTTAGAATGGCTGGGTGGTGACATATGGGCATGAGCTGATGAATGGAGTGTGCTAATATGAGAAAGAAGTCATCCACGTACTGCTAGTCATTAGTTCATCTGGAACAAAGATACATAATAACACAAGTTAATATTTTTTAAAAAACAATTCTTCATTATTAAGGGCTTAAGAGACTAAAAAGAGTCTTCAGTGCAAAATTAGTTTTTTTAAAAGACCACTAATCTAAAATGTCAAAAGCACATGATGAAAAGAGCAACTAGCAACTTTCATTAATGTATAAAAGTACCAAAGACTGGAAATCAACAACATATATATGACATTTATACATATTTGGATGTAGCCCACAGCTCTGTGTCAACTGCCAAGTTAGGTAAAAGGAGGCACCAAAATGACAGCAAGTAGTCTTATTCTTTGGCAAAGCTAAAGTCTGAGCTGAAGAAAAGCGTACCCTTGCGGTGGATCTCACTCTGAAACTCATAGATAAACTTTGTAAGTAATGATGAATAAGGTGAAATAATTACCTTCCTTGTTGCTCCTATAGGTTTCCCTAATGCTGCATGAATGGTACCCCAAAGCTGAATCAAATCGCTGCCTAAGCAGGCACAGCTCTCTGACATGATCAAATTTAATTAATGGGACCAGTGGTCATGCACTGTACATGAAGTGACTGAGGGCCCACCCATATTTTGGAAGAGTCAGACAGCAGAGAAGGGAAACAAGTTAAGATAAACAACTTACTTTATTCATATTCCCGTAGAAAAAATGAGCATTTAACCCTTTTAGTGTGGATGGGGATTCATTGCAAGGGTAACTTTGTTTCCAGCCTGCAGTTCAGTTTTAACAGACAGTTACCTGTGCATTGGAAAATATAACTTCTGGGAATTTTGCCTGGCGTACTGCCTATGTTACTTTTTTGGACTAACATCCACATTTTCAAGACAAGCTTTCAGAGTGTACCCCCTTCTTCAATGCCCGAGCAGACCTAAATTCAGTAACACATGTACTGAAAATAGTCCAGTTCAGCAGGAACTGGCCAGCTTTCGCTACATGTGTACTGCTGTCTGTTTAACAGAAACTGGCCTAATGACTGGCTTCTGTCGAACAGTCTTGCCCTATGGCTGCAAGCGCTGATAGAGATATACTGGAGGGGGAGTCCCCCTTGTCAGAATAAAATAGCACAATGGGAGATCCCAGCAATAACACATCATTGTCGTGTGATTGTGTATATCCAGTTTAATATACAAGCATTAAGCAGAATGTTAGGTAAGTGTATTTTTGAGTGGGGGGTCCCCCTGTCAGAATACAATCGTGCATGTGTGCTTATGTTAATACCGTCTCCCATATCCCTGTATATTGGGTTTGCTAGGATGCCCAGCTAAGAGTTTTTCGAGTTGATGAAGGGATCTGTCAGTTTTTTTATTTATGTTCAACCCGCTGGTTGAATGAAAGAAAAAACTGAACATGTATACTTGTAATCAGAATTACATTTTCTGCTGATTAATTTATGTCAAATGGGTGGTAAAGCTAGTTCTGGGGGTTGTTGGAATACAGTGCTGTGAAAAAGTATTTGCTCCTTTCCTGATTTTTTTTTTTTGTTTTGCATATTTGTCACAATTCCTGATTTTTTGTTAATATTTATCTGATGATTCAGATCATCAAACAAATTTTATTATTACACAGAGATAACCAAAGTAAATACAAAATGCAGCTTCTAAATTATTTCATTTATGAAAGCAAAAAAGCTGTCCAAACCTGCCTGGCCCTGTGTGAAAAAGTAATGGCCCTTTAAACCCCCTGCTGCATAACCCAAGTGTGCTTGAGCTTGAGGTCACAAACTGACTGACTGACTGGACAGTCTCCTTCAGGATGTTCTGGTAGATTGCAGAAATCATGGTTCCATAAGTCATCCAGGTCCTGAAGCTGCAAAGCAGCCCCAGACCATTAGACTGGCACTACCATGTTTGACTGTTGGAATGGTGTTCATTTTATGAAATGTTGTGTGTTTGTTTTACACCAGATATAACTGAACACACTCCTTACAAAAAGTTAAACTTTTGTATTATCAGTTCACAGAAAAAGACTTGGGGATAATCAAGATGTTCCTTGGCAAATGTGAGATGTGAGTCTTTGTATTCTTTTTGGTCAACCGTGGCTTTCACCTTGGAACTTACCCATGGATGCCATTTCTGCCTAGCCTCTTTCTTATTGTTGAATCATGAACAGTGACCTTAACTGGAGCAAGTGAAGCTTGCAGTTCTTTAACCACTTGCCTACCAGGCACTTATACCCCCTTCCTTACCAGGCCAATTTTCAGCTTTCAGCGCTGCCGCACTTTGATTGACAATTGCGCGGTCATGCAACATTGTACCCATATGAAATTTTGATAATTTTTTTCTCACAAATAGAGCTTTCTTTTGGTGGTATTTAATCGCCACTGGGCACTTTAATTTTTGCGCTATAAATTAAAAAAAGTGCAAAAAATTTGAAAAAAAAAAAAAAGTTTATTTGTTTCTTTAATAAAATTTTTCAAACAGGTATTTTTTCTCCTTCACTGATTTGCGTTGATGAGGCGGCACTGATGGGCACTGATAGGCGGCACTGATGGGCACTGATAGGCAGCACTAAAGGGTACTGATAGGCAGTACTAATGAGGTGGCACGGATAGGCGGCACTGATAGACAGCACTAATTAGGGGTCACGGATAGGCAGCACTGATATGCAGCACTGATAGGCGGCACTGATAGGTGACACTGATGATGGGTACTGATAGACGGCACTGACTGGCATCACTTCTGGGCACTGACTGGCGGCACTGACTGGCACAACCCCTGGGCACTGACTGGCAGCACTGCTGGGCTGCACTGGTGGGTGGCACTGGTGGGCAGCACTGGTGGGTGGGCACAGGTGGGTGGCACTGGTGGGCACAGGTGGGTGGCACTGGTGGGCACAGGTGGGTGGGCACAGGTGGGTGGCACTGCTGGGCACATGTAGGTGGCACTTCTGGGCACAGGTAGGTGGCACTGCAGAGTGGCACATGTGGGTGCACTGCTGGGCACAGGTGGGGGCACTGCTGGGCACAGGTGGGGGCACTGCTGGGAACGGGTGGGCGGGGCTAGTGGGCGCACTGCTGGGCGGAACTTGCGGGTGTCACTGCTGGGCACCGATCATCAGGGCACTGATCATCAGTGCCCTGATGATCGGTGCCGATCCCCGCTCTGACAACTGCCGGTTCTCGGCAGTACTTTCCTCACGATCTGACAGCGTGAGGAAAGTGCAGCCGAGAACCGGCACTTGCATTTCCCTGTGATCAGCGTGTCATTGGACACCGCTGATCACGTGGTAAAAGGCCGGTGGGATCGGCCTTTCACCACATCACGTGATCAGCTGTGTCCGTAGGACACAGCGATCACGGAGATCGCCGGGTGCGCGCCCCCTGGGGCGCGCAGGAGAGCGCGTTCTGGGAGGACGTCATATGACGTCCACTCAGAACTGGCCGGCCGCGCGGTGAAGCCGTCATTCGGCTATGCGCGGTCGGCAAGAGGTTAAATGTTGATCTGGGTTATTTTATGACCTCCTGCGTGAGTTGTCCTTGTGCTCTTGGAGTAATTTTGGTAGGCCAGACACTCCTGGAAAAGTTCACACTGCTCCAAATTTGATCCTTTGTGGATAATGGCTTTCACTGTGGTTTGCTGGAGTCCCAAAGCCTTAGAAAAGGCTTTGTAGCTCTTTCCAGACTGATACATGTCAATTATTTTGTTTGAAAACTTCTATTTAAGTGATTTCTTGATTCAACAGGACATTTTTTGGCCTTTAATAAATAAAATCATGATTTAAAAACTGCATTTTTTATTTACTCAGGTAATCTTTGTGTATTATTAAAATTTGTTTGAAGATCTGAATCATTAATGTGACAAATATGCAAAACAAATCAGGAAGGGGCAAATATTTTTTTACAGCACTGTATTTCTTTCAGTGTTTCATCCTGTAATGATGTATCTTTGATTATGTTTCTTATCCCTTCTAGTGCTGGATTGTATGTAGTTTCTCTTTGTATTGTAAGAGATTTTCTCTTTGAGTTTTCAGGGCCTTGTTTATGCTTGTATTGATGGTTTTGTTCTTGTAACCTTTCCTAAGGAAGCAGTCTGCAAGTGTTCTGAGATGTTTATTTCTGTCCAAGCATATTCGGTGGTATCTGATGGCCTGGCTGTATATGATGGCCCATTTGGTGTGTTGGGGGTAGAACTTGATACTTCAGATATAGTTGCATCTGTCAGTATGTTTATTGTATATTGAGGTGTGCAGCTTGCCATCCCTAATAGATACTGTGGTGTCTAGGAAATTGACATGTGCATTTGAATAGTCTATTTTTCGCTTGGTTTAGGGGTGAAATATGTTTATCAATGAGTAAAATATTTGAAACTGTTCTTCACCTTCTGTCCATATGATGAAAATATCAATATAATGATAGCATCAATATGGCTTTTGTTGTATGCTATTAAGGAATTTGTCCTATAGGTTAATCATAAGTTTTATGGCCACTTTCTTCTGTGACTCTCCCCCTCTCCCAGTCCATATTACATTCCTTTCCTTTGCTCACTAATTATCCAAGTTTAATTATCATTGCTTTGTATATTTGTTTGTGTTTTGTCCTTACAGACTGTTTCACTTAACATTCTGGTAAAACTTTATGTATTAATACTGCTTGGACCTTGAAGAAGGGGGTAAACACTGAGCTTGCTTGGATGTTAATGCAAATAAAAAAATAAAACATGGACAGCACTCAGTTCTTTCTGAACAAATTCAGAAATGTTGACAGAAACTCTTTTACACAAACCAGGTTCTGAAAATTAAATAATTTTATTTTTAATGGCCCTTTAAATGTATGTTACCGTTTTTTCTTTGTTACAAATGAAGAATCATGAATCCACTTCATTGCCTACAAAATATTAGAGAGGGTTCAGCAGCCAAATAGACCTAGAGTTTAAAAATCTGTAGCTTTGAAGTCCAGGACACTGGTATTTTAAAATAAATTATAGGTGTTCTAAATGAAGAAACAAGTGAAGATACTAAATATAATAAGAAAGTGGATACGTATTTCAGATTTACTAGAGAAAAACTTTTTAATATTGTAAATTATATATTTAAACAAAATAAAAAAATTCAAATATGAGAATTTCAAATCATTTTTGTTTATTATCTGCTGCTTTATGTTTAAAATATTGTTCTGACTAAAGCTGTTTTAAGCACCTGTTTAATCAGTATAAATATATTAAACCTAATTTCATATTACGGCTTATGGAGCTACATCACTGCTTCTAGCTAGCCAGGTCCATACACCATATGGACCTGACATTCCTTCTTCTGCTATAAGCTCATGGTCACTTCAGTGACCATGAACTTACAGCAGAACCATTCAGCAGACTCTGCTGAACAAACCAATAGCTATGATCAGTAAAAAAAAGTTCCCCCCCCCCCCGCTGTTGCCTCCTCCACTAGAAAAGTGAAATTTCTCCCCTGCTGTCATCTAAAATACACCCCCTTCCACTTTTATTTCCCCCTCCCCCAATACACCAATCCCCAAAACCACAATTATTGCTATCCCCCACACTGATCCTGACCCCCCTCAACACTGATCCTTCCCTACAGCTTCTGGCTTCCCTCTGTTCCCTCCCGTTTATGTGCTGCAAAGGAGCCACAAAGGAAAAGAAAATTCAAAATATATTCTCCTGCTGGAATTCTCACGCCCCTGTAGTGCTCCCCCTCAGTGATTGGCTGGCACCCCTCCCTGCAGTGCAGTTGACAGGCATTCACTCCCTCCCACCGCCTGCAGCTGCTTGCTGTTTATCAGCCCCCTTTGTTTCCTGAATGCATACAGACAGTGATCTATACTGATCGCTTCTGTTATCAGTCATCAATGGAGCATAGTAAACAGTGTTTACAATACTCCAGTTTATGAATTCATAGGGGCTTCTATGCAGAGAAGTCTATTCATTCATATGCTCTTCGGTCCATTTTTTTCTGTGTAAAAAAAAGACATCAGTGGCCTATTTAGACCTCTGATATCTCAGCAAAGCCGCCCCCCCAAAAAATAAAAAAATTGTACAATCAATTATAAATAAAAAATTAAAATTGTAAAATTTTTTTTAAAAAAACATAGTAAGGCCTTGTTCACACAGGCCATACTACAGTGTGGCTGTGTTAAGGTTTTCCTTGTATTCCTATGCATGCAGTTCCGCTTATGTCATTTAGGATGTAGCAACTGCATGGGCACAGCCGCTGCTCCCAATTTGACATCCGTGTGAGTCCAGCTGCATGTCCCATACCCACATTGATGTCAGATTAAGAGCAACAGCTTTGCCTGTGCATCCACTGCATCCCAATTGACATGAACAGCACTGCTTGCACATGTATTTCTATTCAGGTAAACACGGCCCCCCATGGGCATATATTTTAGTACGCCCCATGTGAATGAGGCCTCAGTAGGAATTTATCAGAAATTATGTTATGTTGTGTTTGTGTCTGATAATAATGATTTTATTGTAATTTTAGTGAGAATAGCAATTGATAAACATTTACAAAAATATTGCGGGGCTTAAAAAAAACTGTTTTTTTTTTTAATTCGACAGGTCATATGATTTCAGAAACTGTATGGTTTGGGGGTCTTCTACAAAGTCAGAAAGTTGTAAGTGAAAAATGATAACCTCAGATTTTTAGAGTAATTGTATTTATTTACAGTTTTGTGCACCTTCAGTTTTACCATTTCACAAAAAGGCGCAATTTAAAATGAACAATGTTTTTTATGTATTAACTCAATACAGTTTTAGTTCTTGCTGTGTTTGTGTCTGCAAATTAGAATTTTTTGTGCATTTTTTAGCAAAAATATTTTTTGATAAACATTTGCACAAATATCATGGGTGTGGGGAGATTTAAAAAAAAATTGTATTGATTCATTGTACTTTTATTTTTTTACTTACTTTTTTCACATAACTTTAATGCTATCACGTGTGATATCATAATGTAGATGAAAGGTCTATTAGTCCCCTAAAGTCTTCTCTGAATCCCATTGAAGCAGAACAACCACATACCATGCTTGATCAGCTTCTTTCCTGGACACAGCAGCTGGGGAATGCAGCTCTGAAACTGAAAGTGATGAGGAGCGTGTTGCTTCTGGCTTCATTCAGGGATGATACAATCAAGAAACAAATGTTCGCTAATTGTCCTCCACTATTCCCACTGGCACCTGTTATGGCCATTCTGAGCAGCCAGGAGGGGTAGCAGAGCCCAGGATAGAGACTTAAAACACCCTAATAGTTGGCTGAGGAAATATAGAGACACTGTGTGTAAATGCCACCAAGGCTGCCAATGTAAGCCTTCTGTTGTTGGCAGCAATAGAGTTAAAGCAAGCATAAGTGGTAACATCATTTAAATACATATTTTAATCATACTACAGCAGAAAATGTGAAAATACAACATTAATTTGCCCATGTTAAAGGCATGTAAACCCTGTTAAATATGAAACACTTGAGTGTCTATTAATAAAACTAAGAATGTAACTTTTACATGCATTCTCTGGTGAAGAATCAAGCACTCCTGTTTAAAACAAATGCACCTGGATGTTTCTACACTAGAGTATGCCCAAACATATTCTCTGCTTTATAAGTAGACCACCTAAACATTTATACATTAAAATAAAGAGATTTTGCACTGAATACCCTTTATAGTCTTTGTTTTAGTTTTACACCAAACACTAAATAAAATAAGTAGGTGGCTATGTATACAGTAAGGGTATACCACTATTACTATGTTTTTATTTATGTATTTTTTTTTTTGCTAATGATTATATAGTGAGTCTTATTCAACTGCACAACCCTATTTTCCTAACATGTTTTATTAGTTTGAGATTGTCTCTATAATTAACAACATAGAGTGAAGGGAATTAGGCAATCTGTACATTTCCAAATAAATTGATGAAAACCATATACTTAAAGTAACAGACATTTTCATTTGCATTTACATTTACAAAAGTGATTAAAATGAACACTTTAAAGAATGTTAAGGGGTGAATGCATTCAGAGATGTATTTAGGGAAACAAAACAGATAGCAGAGAATATTAAAGGAATATATACTGTATGTTTATCACTTTTCAAATGCTTTCAAGGTTATCCTTAAATGCTTTTCAAAAGAAAAAAAAACTTTTGATTACAGAACTCAATAGTTCCAGCTCTAAGTAACCAGATGACTCTGTACTAACATCATGGACTTTTGAGAGCACCAATATGTGTCCAGTGCGCAAACCAATCAGCTAGGATGGTGGGGTGGATAACTTCTTTCATAACCAGAACACAACCCATAGAGAATAAATTATGTTTTACTTAGACTTGAAAAGATATCTGGTTGCTATATAATACAGTATATAATTTGTGCAATTGGGTTAGCCACAGGTTGCCTAAACCCTTCTCACTTCATGGATTAATAATCTTACAAACAGACAATCTTAAACAAAATATTTTAAAAAATATGCAATGTGAAAGTAGATGAATAATACATATATATTCCACTGTAAGAATTCTAGCAAATTTCAGAACACTTTGAACAACACTATTTAGAAAAAAGGATGCGCTTTGCATCTAGTTTCACATTGCAAATGAACAGTAACATGTATGCATTATTTATATGATACAATCGCATACATAAATACCTTAAGCTTCTGCTCATCTTTGGGTTCTGGAAGACTAGCGATTTTCTTCTCAATATCATCCAAACATTTCAATAAATCGTCAGATTGTCTTTTGTATTGATACCACTGATGGGAAATCTCCAAAGCCTTTTTCCTTCTTTGTGATCTCAAATCCTAGTTATAATATGAATAACAAAGATCATTTATGTACATGCTCAGTCATATCTGAAAGTCACCAGAGCCTTGCAGTTTACTATATTCTGAAATTCTATTTTTCACTCATAACCATAACAATATTAAAGAATTGAACTCACTTTTATAGATAACATTAATCTGTACATAAGCTTAGACACTAACCTTTCATGTAACAGACTACATGGAGTGACAGAGATCATGTGCCTCTGTACAAAGGAACTCATTAATCAAAAGCCGTTACGTATTAATGTGGCTGCTGCAGTCATAACTCAGAATAAAGTCAGTGAAAGTTGTGCACATAAATGAAAGCTTTATTAAAATGTAAACGAGCTAGATGAATCACTCTCCTATATTCATCTATAATTTTCTTAGCTGCCTGGGTGGAAATTTTACTTACAGTCAATTTATGTTGCTACTGAAATATGTAAATCATTATGAATTGAAATTTACATATATTGTATCTCTTTTTAGATTGTGTGCATGCATTTCCAAGATGCTAAAGATCAAACCTTTGGGAAGATCTAAGAAATGTAAAAGTATATGAGAACCCTCACCTTGTAAAACAACCCACTCAGTTTAAAAAAATAAATGAAAGACAAAACATTTGTGTATACATATAAAAAAATTATGAATTGCTTGTTCCCTTTTTTTATAAGTGATTACATAACCTCAGTTTTCAGCTTCATAACGATCTCGGGGAGAAAAAATGGTAACACTCTGGTCTTCCCAGTGAATAGTTGTGTGGGAGGAAAGGGGGCATGTCAGCAGAAGCCTGATAATTAGATTAGCTCCCAGCACATCCAGAAAACTGACCATGTTGTGCTGTCATGGCTACTGTGGTCAGTTTTTAATAGGAAAGCAGAGTGACTGGCAGGGACATCAGGGATTTCACACAAAGGAAGCAGAACAGAGAGATCAGGGCACTTTTCATACAAGTGCATGGTACAGCAGGCACATATATAAGAATATGAAATGTTGAGTTTACATATTCTTTAAGCCTGGGCAGCTTGAGTGCAGTGGAATAACAGACTGATCTTTGTATAGACTACTAGAATTTTATAAAAACTCCATACAACCAGACTGCCCCCTTCTCCTTTAACATACATTCCCCCATCTAGACCAGGAGCTTTTGACTCAAGATTTTAAAACTGGGAGAGATTCTGGTACACTTAAGGTATATAAGGCACAAACAGGTTAAGCTACAGTTTGGGATTAGTTTGATAAACCCATTTGTCACATAAACAATTGTCATTCCTTTTATTTTAGAAAATAATGTTCTTACTTTTTTTATCCTTTCTTTGCATCTCAATTATACCAATCTCCTCCAGTGTCTTTCAGTCACTTACTGTCTGCATGCCAGCAGGACTATGTGTCATTGCTTAGGTTAAGCTGCCTGTTGGTAACAGCAGTGGACCATGTTTGCAGACTATGTGTCCACACAGCCCTTTACAGTCCCCATTAGAAGCACATTTGACAGGGTGACCATACAAAGTGTCAGAGAAAATATTTTTATAACAAGATTACAAGGCACTATTATAATTCTTTAATTATAATTAAATACACACTGAAAATGTGTACAGGGATTATTCAGAGGTTAAAGCATAGTAGCTGAGTAGAAATATAGGGGTCTGATAATGAATGTTCTTATATACACATACAGTATATAAGTATATGTATACATAATTTTTTGTAGGAGTTTTTACTGCATTTCCTTTTCTTCTCCTCAGGAATTGTGCTTTGAAGTGTATGCCTGTGATGTAAACACCTAGCAGGCTAGAAAATGCTTCCTCTTTGAAGGATAAGAAAAGCATCTTATGGTCAAACCAGTTTGAACCAACAACTGTCATGATGGATGCTATTTTGGACTGATCATGTGATGTTAACACTCACTTAACTCTGAGTTTGCTGTTATGCATATGAGGATTTGATTGGATTAAGACCGTATGACCACGCCTGGATTTTATACGATCACGCCTGGTCCTTATGACTATATATACATTAGCCAAAAGCTTAAGAAACAGATATATATTTTCTATCACCTCAGTTCATCTCCTGCTAAATTATCTCCACTGCAGTGTAATAAATGCACCTTTCTTTATGAATTAGGACTCGCTATCTCATCTAGAAGGTCTCGCTTGTAGACCCCCTAACCTGAAGTTACATAGCATTTCTTCAAACAGCAGAAATACTTTTAATTATAAGTTAGAACAACTAGAGACAAAACTTATTGATTTTAAAACGTTATTTATAAAAGGAAAAATGTTGCAAATAAAAAAAGTTTTGAAAAGAGATATTACAAAATTAACAAGAATCACAACAGAATAAATGGAAATAACAGAGGAAAATTAATTCACAAGTCTCCGATCTTTGGGTTCAGACTAGATTGAAGAGGTTTCTAAGTCTTTGGACTCTCAAGAATTAAGACTATTGGCAGACATTCTTTATTTTGATTATAAAGGAGAGCTACAGACTGTTGATGCAGTGCTCTTTTATGATGCCCAGGACGGTATTGAGAGAAATGGCCTGACCAATCTAGAAGTCTAAGGAGTGTGTTCAAGGGGATGTCAAAAATGTTTATGAGTGTGCAAGTTGTCACCCTTTCAAATACAGTTTTCTAAATGCATTAATATTTCCAGTGTACCACATGCCACAATATAATAATACATATTTTATCATGCAGCTTAAAATTATCTGTTGAACAAGACCACTCATGACCTACTTTATGGCTTCCTAAGAAGAAGTAATGTATCTCACTGGCCCACTGCCCTTCATAGAACAGGGGTGCTTAGTCTTAAAATGTTTGTAATGGTCTTCTATATTTAGTGAAATAATCAATTTTAACCTAAATTAAACACAACAGAGTTTATGAGTTTGTATATAATGTAGCTCAGCAAGGAAATTTTGATTCTGCATCCTACTGCCTGCTAAAACATTTACTATATGACATAAAGCCTGCCTCCAAGGAGAAACACTGAGACAAAGAGGTATATCGACATAATGCCTGCTAAAATGACATGAGGTATATTGCATGATGGACTGAAATAGTGCATCTGCATCATCTAATAAACTGCCAGGACGAATTATGGGAAAATTATTTTTGATAGATAACATCTTCATATTGGGTGATAACCGCAAAGATCCAATTCTCATCTAATAAGGATGGATCCCAGAGTTTAAACCAATGCACCAAGTACTTTATCAAGGAATATGTCTGTTAAGACAATGTTGATATGACATATGTCTTTAACCACTTGCCTACTGGGCACTTATACCCTCTTTGTACCCAGGCCAATTTTCAGCTTTCAGCGCTGTCACACTTTGAATGACAATTGTGCAGTCATGCAACATTGTACCCATATGATTTTTTTTTCCACACAAATAGAGATTTCTTTTGGTAGTATTTAATCACACTGGGTGTTTTATTTTTAGCACTATAAACAAAAAAAAAGAGCAAAAAATGTTTTAAAAATTTTTTTTCTTTGTTTCTATTATAACATTTTGCAAACAGGTAATTTTTCTCCTCCACTGATGTGCATTTGATGAGGCTGCACTGATAGGCAGCACTGATGGGCACTGATAGGCAGCACTGATGGGCACTGATGAGGTGGCATGGATAGGCAGCACTGATAGGCTGCATTGATGAGGTGGCACTGTTGATGCTGCACTGATATGCAGCAATGATAGTCAGTGATGGGTGGCACTGTTGAGCACTGATAGGTGGCACTGACGGGCAGCGCTGACTGATGGCACTGACTGACAGCACTGACTGGCAGCCCTGACTGATGGCCACTGATGGGTGGCAGTGATGGACGGCACTGATGGGCACATCTGCTGGGCAGCACTGATGGGTGGCACTGCTGGGCACTGGTGGGAGGCACTGCTGGACACTATTGGGTGGCACTGCTGGGCGGCACTGATCATCAGGGCACTGATCATCAGTACCCTGATCATCAGTGCTGATCTGCTCTGTGACAGCTGGAGAAAAGTGCTGCCGATAACCGGCAACTGTATTTACTCCATGATCTGCTGTGTCATTGGTAATAGCTGATCACGTGGTAGCTGCTGTGATTGGCCTTTTACCTCATCACATGATCAGATGTGTCCGTAGGACACATGTCGGGTGCACGCCGCTGGGGTGCACAGGAGGGTGCATTCTGGTAGGAAGTCATATGACGGCCTCCCAGAACTGGATAGCTGCGCTGTAGCCATCATTCGGCTATAGCACAGGTTGCAAGTGGTTAATGCAAGATAAATTCAATTTTACATATGTTGACCCTTGCAAGGAAGTCAGATCACCATTCATGAGACCTGATTGACCTCTAGTGGTCAGGTAAAAGGAAAATCTAAAGCCAATACATATGTTTGTCCAATTTAAAAGAAAGTCATTATTAGTTAAGATAGACTTAGCAGACAATGAGTCCAAACAGTATTAAAACAGAGAAAAATTGAACAGAAAAAAACTTTCTTGCTCAAAGAAAAAGCCTTGCTGGCTTATACACTGAAGAAAAATATTCTTGCTGAAAGCTGAAGAAAAAACCTTCTTGCTGATACACCCAAAGGACTTATCTTATATACACTTGATAAATCCTTTTCACACCAGAGGGACGTGATCCTTGCTAATATCCAGAACACTGTATCTCGAAGGTGGTGAGATCTGGCTAAAGTGTCATAACAAACTTTTCTTAATACCAAAATCATTGCTAGAATTTTCTAACCATTCATTGAGATATTGCTGGGTAGTGTGCATGGTGGTCTGAATTGCTAATTTTTCCCATATCTTCATATATCTTGTTGAATTCCTGAGATTGAACTGTGTATAGTTAGATTGGGAGCTAATCTGTCATTGAGGGTTGTTATTGTCGTAGAAACTAGGGTTTTTAGTTTTCTTTTCTCTAATTGCAAACTTATCGTCTTTAAGGATGCATTTGAATTGTCTTTCAATATGTTATTTGTTATGTATTTTTCTAATGTTTCATCAA